AACCTGAAAATTGTATCTGAAACCTCACACAAGGTTTGACGGCCGTCTGCTGTACAACGTATCATGGGTTCAATTCAAGGTCGGAACAATTCTTTGTGTAATCTTCAAACTGTTATGCTTTGTCTGGGTGTCATGTGTATGTGAACTTGTATGTTTGTAAACGCACTCAAAATATTTGTAAGTAATGTAATCACTACATAGTATAAAACAAAGTCGCTATTCGCCGTCTGTCTGTTTCAATGTACGCTTAGATCTTTAAAACTACGTAACGGATTTTGATGCGGTTTTTTTAATAGATAGAGTGATTCTTAAGGGAGGTTTATATGTATAATACAAGCATATTGCACCCGTGTGAAGCCGGGGCGGGTCGCTAATATATTATATAAGATATGTTATTGAGGAGATTACTAGTGTAAAGAGATTACAGAAAAATGTCATACAGATATTGTAAACATACATTTTTTGTTAAACTATTTTTACGTTACATAATATCACATCTTTTTTTTCAATAGCGGAGGATAATTCCATCGTTAATGATATTATTTTCCAGTTTTTTTGACTGACTTCCTCGTTGGGCGATTGGTCGCAAGCGCGACTGCCCGGCAAGGGGTCTCGGGTTAAATTCTCGGGTCGGGCAAAGTATTACTGGGTTTTTAAAAAATTCTCAGTAGTAGCACGGAGTCTGGAATTGTGCCCGGTATATGGCAATAGGATCATCCCCTATTTCATGGGACTCATAGCATAAATAGTGGAAAGTGGGTGTTACATTATACAGTGGCATAATGTGCACCTCTGCCTGCCCCTTCGGGGATAAAAGGCGTGATGTTATGTTATGTGTTAATGTTTTTTGTTTACTAACAAAAAAAATTAAAAAATAGCAACAGACACTAAAAATTAATTACCTACATGATATAAAACACTGAACTGAAAAAATATATATATACAGGATTATAGGTTAAGTCGACCTAAATTCTTTAAGAGGTGGTAGTATCTATTATTACCAAACATAAACTTAATCTTATATATAAATAAATATATATTTATTCTACTTTGTCAATACCACTTTTTTTAAGGGGGTAAAATCATCGAATGGCTTCTCCCGCCTTAGTGTCAGACTCTTACTGACTAAAAACCACCCCGTTCCTACTCCTGCACTTCGAGCCGGAGCCCCGGTAACCCGCTAAGTTCCACGCGGATCCGTATCGGCATCAGTCTTATTGTTTCCCATCTGTGGTAGTCTGATAGCCTGTCATTATCATACTAGTTTGTTATTCGCATGTTTAGTAGATATTTATTAATTATACCTAACACACTACGATGCATTTAATTTCGTTATCTATTATTATTTACTTTGACGTTTTCCTAGTATTAATAGATTATGTAGAAATTGCCAATAACACAAACACACGAGTAGTAAATCTGAGAATTTGTTACAAAATAATGATTGTGTATTTTACGTGTGTTGTTTATGACATTTACACTCCATCCAACACTGTCCGTGTTTATCTACTAAAATTTAAAAATAAAACTAACTAATTACCGTTTCATTCTGCCAGTTAGATAAAATTATCTGGAGACTATTGGATAATTTTCAATTGTCAAAAAGAGAATGGGGTAATCGTAGGTCATACAGTTTGTGAAGTTCCATTTCTTATTTTTAGTAGGTAGGTACTTCAAAAATACCACAGATGGGGCCCAATAACCACAGATGGAGCCCAATTTTGGTTATTGGGCTAGTAGTTTTTAGTCAGTAAGAGTCTGACACTCCCTCGTACTTCACCCAGCCGGGAGAAATCTTTCAATGAATTTCCCCCTCAAAAAAAAACGTACCTACCTCAAAAATCAGCAAAATTTTACTTGCGTGTTGAACCCTAAACTTTCTTGACAGTCATGCACGAGTCGTAAAATGAATTGTTGTGGTCCCCCAGAGGTTTGAGACACCCGCTTCTCATGCATGAGGACGTGGGTTCCAAACCTACCAACGGCAAGTACCAATGTGACTTTATCCGAGTTATATGTACTTTCTAAGATTATTTAAATACCACTGACAAACGGTAAAGGAAAACATCGTGAGGTAACCTGGGTTTATAATTTCTAATTATAAGTTTGAAATCGCCTACCCGCATGAAGCAAGCGTGGTGATTAATGCTCAAACTTTCTCTGTGTGAGCACTTATAGGCTGTTGATGATGATGATGATGATGATGATGTTTGAGTGAGGTGTATGGTGACTGACATTTTTATTTATTCAGACAACAATTGCTACATAAAACAAAATATTTACCTACAATTTAATCTTACATATTTTTAAAAGAGTAACGATGAAGTTTATTACTCGTTCATCTTCATTCGAAGCTACACTTTGGAACGAGCACCTAACTTTACTGACGGACAGACTGACAGAGAAATTTCTATTTGTTGTCGTTTCAAAAGTTAATTGATACCAATGCTTTGACTTTGACTTTAATTATTTTAATAATTACTACTTCAAGTGTGACATTTTCTTGTGTTCTTTTTTAATGACACTTCATTATGTCTTGAAAGAAACTTATCAGTTATCATTCTTTTTAGTTTTTATGTTCGTGTGGTTTGTACGATTGAAATGAAACCATTGTGATGGAAAATCGGTTTATTTAGTCATAAATATTTCCAAATTGGAATTCTTCCCATCACTGGCAAGTCCAATGGAGTGGATGGATGGAGACGCTCCGGTGCATGGCATTCTGGCCACCCTAAGACAATAAAAACGCTATGGTAATGAGAATAATCAGAGTTTTTAATAATATTTTAACATACCTAAGTGTGGAAGAGCCATGCTTCGGCACGAATGGGCCGGCTCGACCGGAGTGATACCACGGCCTCACAGAAAACCGACGTGAAGCAACGCTTGTGTTTTATTTCGTCGTGTGACTGAGGTTATTGAATTCTCAATTATTCGCCTCTCCAATATCCCTGATTCCCCTAATCTGCATATTCCTAATCCCCAAAAAGCCGGTAACGCACTTGTAATGCCTCTGGTGTTCCAGGTGTCCATGGGTGACGCCGATTGCTTACCATCAGGTGATCCGTCTGCTCGTTTACCAGCTTACTCATCCCATAAAAAAACTATTCGTAATATTTTTATGAGACCTATTAAACTAATAAAAATTTGCACAAGATATCATTGAGAAAGGTTAAACTAGTAAAATCACAATGGGACATTTATTGATTATTCATTAGCACCTTGCGTGGCGCGTTGATACAAATCTTATAAAAATGTGTTTAGTGTTTTTTGAGTTAGTTGCGTACAGACTACAGACATTGAAGTGCATGAGACAAGAAGTAGATTAGTATTTGTTACCGATCACCTTAAGTATATACCATCCTCTTTGTAAAGAATACCTATTTTACCTCATTCACTATACAATTCCAGCCTTCGCACTATTGTGACTAAACTAGCTTTAGAAAATACTTACTAACACATTACCTTACTCGGGAATCGAACCCCCTCCTTGGCAGTGGCGCTTGTGATCTTTTGACTAACGTGGTTAAATGTATGATATAGAATGTTGGCTTTTTCTGAGGAAATACTTAATGAGTAAATACTTACGTGTTATTGAGAACTTAATGAAATCAATGATAATTTTGTGATTGGGAGTCGAACCCAGTAAAATATTATAGGTAATAATAATAAATAATATTCGCATATTACAAGCATAAAAAGCAACGTCAAAAACCAATGATAAATGTGAATTTAATAATAAAAATTTAAAAAATATGAACAAGACTGAAATTATTAAAAAAATAAGAAAAATATAAGATTAATTGAAATTGCATTGTTTTTCGTATTACCTCTATATTACCTTACATTATTCATCAACAAAATTGTGTTTATTATTAAAACATCGAATCTTAATTTGTTTTTTATATTGTTTTGGATTAAAGCATGTGAAAAGATTTTTACATTACTTTTATTTGTTAGATTTTATTTTTGCAATATAAATAAGTTTTACTTATTATTTTTGAAGTATAAAATTAAAACAAAAATAAACTGCTGGGTATATCAGTGATATTTTAGAGAGTAAAGGTATAATAGTTATGTTTCGATTGGTATTGGTGTATGTGGGTAATAAAAAGCGTAATTAACTTAAAATAAAAAACATTTATTTATAAAATTATGATATAGTTAAAACATATCAAAAATTCGAACATTCACAATATTTATTTATGTATTATATTAAGGCAACATCATCGGCTCTTAGCATTTTTTCATAATATATTACTAAAAAAATAAACATAAAATAATTTCACAAAAATGTCAAGCATCAGCCATTTTACGCTTGAGATTTTTGTCCAAAAATTAAACTAATTGGTCCAATAAAAGTTTAACAATTTTATATAATAACTAGCTTTTTTGCCCGCGACTTCGTCCACGTGGAATAATGACTTCCAGCTAGGAATTTTTCACTCATGTCAACTTTTCCAAGAACTATTTTGGTCACTGTACCAAACATCAGAATTAAGACAGTGTTTGAGTTACTTACGTTTCTATATATTGTTGTAATTATTCAAATCAGAGCAGTAGTTTCGGAAAAAAGGCGTTCAAACAAACAAACAAACCCTTCAGCTTTGTATATTAGTATATATATAATATTTTTGTACTAATTCTCTTAAGAAAATATAATTTTAATTTGGAAAATGTGATAATTTTGGGCAATATATATAGTTATCACATTCCCCACTAAAATTAAATTTAAATTAATAAATTATCTTTTGTCATTTTTATTGTCATGTACCTATATTTCAAATGAAATATTTTGTGCTATTTAAATTAAAATTAAAAAATGAAATAGCAAAATAATATAAAATTATATTATTAAACTAGGGCAGTATTTTATTTGTCTATTTTGAGAAATTAATACCTATTTATTGTTGTGATAAATACTGTTCTTGTTGTTTTGTTGTTGATTATTATTTTATATTGCAAAAGAAATAAAAATAATGGTAAAAAGGAACAAAAAATAAGCTGCAACATTTGTTGTTTTAACAAAACAAAATTGTTTTTTCGTAATTATAAATTACTAAAATAGTGAAATAAGAAGCGATAATAACTTAACTAACAACTTATTAAATAACCACGCGTTGAGTTGAACGTCCGTAATATTTTTTGGCAACAATTTTTTTATTTTACAAAACTTTAAAATTAAAAAATGAGAAAGTAAAATTAAAAATGTCATATAGGAAGGTCATAGAAGTGTCTTAAAAAAAGGATGTTTAACAAAAAAATGAAGAGGTTAAGAATATTATGGACGTGGCAACTTGAGAAGTATGGACTCGCTTTCTCACTTGGAGTGCACGAGGTTAAGGAACTCCTCCCTGGTCTTCGGATCATCGCGGAACACTCCCAGCATCGTGGACGTCACAGTCTTACTGTTGATCTTCTGCACACCTCGCATCACCATGCACATGTGCCTAGAAATAAGGAAAAAGAAAGAATATTAATCAATCAATACATAGTATAAAACAAAGTCGCTTTCGCTGTATGTCCGTATGTATGCTTAGATCTTTAAAACTACGCAACGGATTTTGATGCGGTTTTTTTTAATAGATAGAGTGATTCTTAAGGAAGGTTTGTATGTATAATACATGCATATTGCACCCGTGCGAAGCCGGGGCGGGTCGCTAGTTAATAATAAAAAGAGTATTTTCTATGTCTGCCCAAAAATTGTTTGCATGTTAGAATTTGTGTATGAGGTTTTTGTTGGGGTTTCTTCCCTGGTCCAGTAGGGAAAGTAGTAATAAGGCTAGATGATGAAGTTTAAATATTCATAGCCGAGACTCAAGCCTATGATTTACCAAATGATAAGATAGAGGTACATGCGTCCTATAAAAATGCCACTCACTTATGACCTGTTACGAAATTAAGTATTTGTTTCGGAGGGTGAACCTATTAATATTAAAATGTATTGCTGTTAATGAATATTCCCAAAATAATAATACTCAATCCGACTTATTCGTTATTACTATATAAATACTAAGAACTTATTTGTTACAATTAGATATATATCTAAAGTAACAATGAAAAAGGTGATAATAAGAGAAACAGACGTCATAGGCTACGGGGGTCAGCAATACTGATAAAATTACAAGGTAAATTAATAACAGTAATGAAATAACAAATAACGCCATCTGTTGATTACATTATAAACTACATTGAACTTTCATGATCTACGACTATCATCGTGCCATCTAGTAGTTTTGATCCGAACTAACTAGTGATCTTTTGATTCATATGTATTGTGGAGTTATTTTTAGAGAGAAGGCACTCTTCTTCCATTATTTGCTATTCCAAAATTAAATACTGAGCGTAGGGATTACGGCAAACCTCAGAAGATTTTATTCAGTAATGAACATATTCCTTCTTAGATGATGATGATGATGAAGTTGTAGATGATGATGAAGAGGATTTGGTACTTACACTCCTTCGATAACAACGGCTACACCAGCCGGGCGGACAGCTTGGGTCACAGCTACAGCGATCTGCTTGGTCAGGCGCTCCTGGACTTGGAGACGACGGGAGAAGATCTCCACGATCCTGCAAATGAGGAAGAGAAATTGTTAAAGCTTGTTATAAATGAAGAGAGAGGGGGAGAGAGACAGGCATAATCTGGAATAACAGGGAAAGGGATAGATATTACCTCTATAATGTTGTAAATTTTGTATTAGCCTTATTCAGTTGATTGACAAATTATTTGATTCATTACTCCTATTTGCTTTATAAAATCTACTAGGCGTTCATAAGGATCTTGGCTCGGAATAAGAATTTAAATTTAATATGTCAGCTTGACAGTTTTGGCAAGCTGAAAATGGATATGGCAACAGAGGAAAACCGTAGTTAGGCAATTGCCTATTACCTAATACTTAATACTCAATTGAGTATGAGATTAAAGTTATTCAACAGACGTTTTGTAATACTTTATATTCATATAGTTAAAGACAAGCTTATTATGTGTACTATTCTTATTTGATAGCATCATTTACCTTATTGCGTTATTACAATAGTTGACAACGCACATAAAATATTTTCAAGACGACATATTTTGAGGAGAATCCAAAGGTTGCAATTGATAGGCAGTTGATTTTTTTATGAAATAGCAGAAAGTAGACAGATTTTATAAGGCACTGTCACAAAACCGCTGCCCAATAATGGAGGCCGTTCTGTTGTCTTATTTTTAGATTTAACCCAATATAATATCACGCTTTTTATCACTAAAGGGGTAGGCAAAAGTTCACATTACGGCACTTAAACTGTCAAACACCAAGCGGTTACCGGTGACCACAACCTATTGTTCTATAATTGTGTCTATAATGACGGTACTCGCCACTGTACAATGGAACACCCACTTTTAATTATTTATGTTACGAGTCCCATGTAATAGGGGGTGAGCCTATTGCCATATACCGGGCACAATTCAAGACTCCGTTACTGATACCGTGACTGCTATTACTGATTTTTTTTTGAAAACCCCATAATACATCACTCGACCCGGGAATCGAACCCGAGGCCCCTTGGCCAGCAGTCGCACTTCCAACCACTCGGCGAACGCATCGAACTTTCGCATATAATGTAATTTTATTAGAGGATAAGAATAGGATTCTAAGCCAAAATAATATATTGTAATTTGTTCCTTACCTAGCCAGCTTGCTCAAACCGAGGATCTTGCCCTGAGGCAGGTAACCAATGGACACCTTTCCGTAGAACGGCACCAAGTGATGCTCACACATGGAGAACATCTCGATGTCCTTTACAACCACCATCTCATCAGTATCCTCGTCAAATATGGCGTTGTTTAGGACCTCTGGAAATTATAATACAAGGCCATTAGCTTTTGTACCCTGAAAGACCAGGTTTTTCAATACTCAAAGTCAAAGTCAAAGCATTTATTACAACTAAACCATAATTTTATACTTTTGAAACGTCAGTGAAGCTAGGTGCTCTAGGAATTTGCTATAATATGAACAGACATAATATATTGAGTGGTTAATACACTTTTATGACGTGCTATATTATCACCATATCATTAGAGTATATATTTTTATCACTGTAATCTCAATTCCTTAGCAACATTGTTCTGGATTCTAACCAGGACTTAAGAATTTCTTGACAACTTCAAACTTCATTTTAAACACTTTCAATATCCAAAGAACTATGGAGAGATAGTTGACCTAATGAAAAGTATTTTCTTCGTTTCTAAATAGCTTACCTTCAAGGCTCTGGTCGTATCCCTTGGTGAAGAAGAGCATAGCTTTAGCAGCACGCTCAGGTGTCTTCAGCAGACCCTCTCTCTCAGGGTCCTCACCAAGACCTGGTGGTCGAAAGGTTTGATCAGACATATGAAAATATTATGTTGAAGTTAAAGACATAAATGTGTTCAAAACACGACTGTTTGCCTACGGTAAAGTAGCAAGCGCAAAGTATAATTCTATACACAGAATTATAGACGTCATTGATTTTTTTAGTATCATATACAAAAAAACATAAGATAAAATGATTTAGGGTGATTTGATTGCCATCATCATTATATCAGGGGTTAATAAAGGGTGCTCATTACTACACTAAGCTGTAGTCAGTTAGGTATACTAGAAGACATTGAAATAGTTAAGTCTTTGCCAGGGGTAAGAATCTTCTACCCCTAGAAATGGTATTGACACTGTAGAACTCTACAGTTTCGTTCGTGACGTTGCTGCATTACGTTTCATCATCATCGACACCCTGTGGGAGTCTTATGCTGCACTATGAGCCCCTTCTATTAAAGACGGGTTCGCCATTACGTTCATGTTTATGGGTTGGAGATCAACTAAGTACTGAACAATTAATTACCTGTGAGCAAAAGTCTGTAAGAGTTGGCCATGTCGGGGAGAAGTGCCTCCCTGGTGGGTGGTCTGTGGTCCAGCTCGAGGTCATGGTGGAAAGTGCAGTTCTCGTGGCCTGAAAATAAAAAATATATCTTTAGAGATGTGAATAGGATGATGCTTTGGCAACTTGTATGTTTGTACTTGAAACCTATTTTAATGAACGGACGGATTAGACTAGTTCATTGTGATCATATAAATTTTTAAGATTTGTTCAATCTCAGTCTAGTCGTTTAGGAGAAATACAGTGATAAACAAACTTAGAGAAGAAGTTTAAATTGTTAAATTCAAACACGTCGTTATTTGTAGTTTGTGAACTGTTCAGGATGTTCTGCTGAGACATTATTGCAGTATGATTCATATCTTGTTCCTCACTTTATCTATCTATATTACCACTATTTATCACTCCCAATTAATCCAGTCTGTTAAGCAATAAATTGTGTCTAATCCAAAATCAAAACAAGGATATCATTAAACAAACATTACGCAATTTTGAGTAAAAATTTCAAACAATTATTTTTTGTTGATCGTACTAGATAAATGTTGATTAGCACTGTGGTATGAACATCTGTTGCAATCTTTCCGCAAAGTTGCGTGTTCACAATTTATAACAAACATTATTTTTTTTAAATGCTAGCAAAAAATATGAGGTCTACCTTGGATATTGTCCTAGTACGAACTTCGTATCATCATCATTATATGTTTTGTTTTTATTAAAGGCAAGTCTAAATGAAAGAAATATAAGTATTTAAATAGGACATATTATTTGCGTTAACAGACAATATATTATATTCCCTTCACTTTTATTTCTTTCGACAGCTTTGCAATAAGCAAAGGAAGACGAGGTCCTTTGTTTAAAAAATAAATGAGTCCCTGAGGTATCCCACACATTCTAAAGTACAAATATTACCAAAATTAACCCAAAAAGAAGTCGAAAGCCTTAGACGGAATTACAAATACAGTATGTTCTAAATTACAATTACTAACCTAAATAGTATTTAATGTATCGTTTATTCCAATATTTAGTGTTAGACCGTCATAATTACCTTCACATGTGTAGACTAGAGTTCAAGAATAATAAACACTTCAGTTTAGTTAATGCTTAAAATGTTCAGAACAATCTGTAGTATTGTTAAAATAGTTATGAACTTATTTCGAACCTTGGAACTTTGAAGGTTGATCGACATATTATACTATATTATGTTACATAACATTTTGTCTATAATCCAATCGTAGATTTTAAAACGATTTCGGAAGCCGAGGGTCTTATTTCAGTTACCTATATTTTATGTTTTTTTTTTTTAAAAAATTATACTATTGATAGGATTGCAATGTAGAATGTTGTTAGGATCTCAAGTGTAGAAATAGAAATAGTAGATTATGATTCTTATCGTGTATATATTTTAAATTACGTATAATGTACGTATTTGCCCTGATACATTGTAGTAAAAAATATAGTATTAAGTATTACTGCAGCTACGAATGTAATTACAGCTATAATTAAGACAATACAATGATTGTATAAGACAATAAATGAACAATAGAATAACAATATTACGTCAATATTCATCAGTTGGTAAGACCTCACTTGTTAAGACCGACAAAAGGAAAGACAATATAGTCTTTTAAATGAACTATTCTGTTATCAAAATCGCATGATATTTTTTCATTATCACTTCCATATATGAATTAAAGCATTTATATCGCAAACTTTTACAAAAAAAAAAAAAACGTAGTTTAAACCTCAAACTACAAACGTAGATCTATAATAAAAACGAAAATTAAAATTGTGACGTCATCAAGTATACAAACCAGGAGTTGTTGAAGTTCTGGGAGTCATTGGAGTTCCAGGGACCTCCAGCTCGCTCTCAGCATCAGTTAAGTGGAAGCTCTTTAGGGCCTCAGGAGCCTTCTTATATTTACTGACAAACGAACCCTTAACTGGGCCATCGCCATTTTCTTTTTCCTCCGAAATTGAATTTCTAACTGAACGCGAACTGACGCGTCTAATCAAAGAGGAAGGCGGCACAACCGGGTCTGAATCCTTTCCGTTAACAGCGGCCATTTTGTTTTAAACTAAAAAAATCGAAGTTTAAGTTTAAAAAATCGGAACCTAAGTTTAAAAAATCGGTTTGAAATTATACATACGTTCGTTGCGTTCGAGTTTTGCGGTGTAACTGAGAAAATTTATGAAGCTAAGACTTGTTATCCATATGAATTGTGAATTTATTTATTAGCTAGATAACCTCTGACTTATTTATCATTGGTTTTATTAAATATAATTGTTTCATCAGTTATAATGTAATAATGAAACTTCCGGATAAATAAATAGCTTCTTTCAAAATGAGGAATTTTTTGGGTCTTTGAGATAAAAAATGGCGTAACGTGATGATGTTTCGTAACTTGAGTTATCAATGTGATTTATAGTTATATATGTTAACGATGTTTTTGATGCTGACTTGACATATATAAAGATATGTAACTACAAAGTAGTAATTACAAATCAATATTAATATAGTTTCCCTTATTCTTGTTGCTAGGTAACGAATTGATTCCGTATTTAGAACGAAATTAATATTTTGTTTAATTTTAAAATGTGCAATGTCATCAATATAGTTACTTAATAAACGTTTAATAGTATGGCCGTAAAAGAATATCGGTTTATTTATGCCAAAAAAGACACCAGTGTAGCATTTTTGAATTTAAGCAATTATGAAACAAATTTGTCTGCAATAAAATGTATGCTAAATTTTCAAATTTTGTGCTAAATTAACAAAACGTGTGTTATTTGTTTTTGTTATAATAATGTCTAGTTGTTTCCAAGTTAAAGTGCAATGACTTTTATCACGTGTTTTAAGTACCTATATATATAAATAAGTATTTATTAAGTATAGGTAATATATTGGTCTTATAATGTAATAGCCAATGTTTGTGACCAATGTTGGCCTTTGTATTAATTTTACACTTAACATAATTATGACAAAATATTTAAGTCGATAAAATCCTGGTAGACGGGATAGAAATCACAGTTTCAGATTTAATCAGAGAAGATGCTGTCCGATCTCTGCCAAATGTCTAGTCCCTTAACTCGTCGAGTACCGTCATTATAGACACAATTATAGAACAATAGGTTGCGGTCACCGGTGACCGCTGGGTGTTTGACAGTTTAATCGATATTTAGGTACGATATCCGCGGCAAGGGAGACGGTGGTGATACGAAATTGTTTTACTGATATAACCGGTAGTAAATAAGAAGTATGTTTCGCAATTAACCTTGCTATATATATGTGTAATCGGTTCGTTTACCTACAATGAAAGCAAAGGTCATATTTGAAGGCTTTTTCCTATTAATATTGTAATTGCAATTTTTCTGTTTCCGGTGTTACGATTACGATTGTAATTATAAGATTATGTTATATATATTTTATAAATATAGATATATCTATATTGTTTTTAAGAGAGGAAAATCATCGAATGGCTTTTCCCGCCTGGGTGAGACGGGAGGGAGTGTCAGACTCTTACTGATTAAAAACCACCCCGTTCCTACTCCTGCACTTCGAGCCGGAGCCCCGGTAACCCGTTAAGTTCTCCGCGGCTCATATATATCTATATTAATAATTGATACTATATTTGATTCTTTGATGCAATAGGCAGAAGTTTGACGTTTTTAGCATGAATTAACATATAAATATATAATATAAGTATTTTTATCATCGAAGGGATAATTTTTGGTTATGCTTACATTAAGAGTAACTGACTTTTCGTCCATTTTGTCTTATAATAATCTTGTCTTTATAAGAGAGACTATTGTCAAATTCTAAATACTAAATGATGCTTTGGTCGACAGAACATTAAACCTGATACACTATGCTCAGCAGTCATTCTTATAGCCATTTAACCAATGAGGTAGGTAGCTTAAATTGTCATGTTTTTCTTTGCTACAGTTTTCGAATAAATGCTTTATGCTTGTCGGTCTCATTGGCTTTCTTACTATGCTTTAATCAGCTCTGATGATCACATTCCTATCAGTCACTGCGACTATTTGTGACGCGACATGAATTTTAAATTAATTTGTAGTTTGAGGTTAATAGCATAAACAAGAACTTTCCTTCTCTTTGCTGTCGCCGAACTGATTTCTCTTTTTTTTATTATGCTATAAAATTGTGTAATCGCCGTGTTTTTCGTAAAGATGTGATCTACTCGAGTTTTTGGCATAATTGGCACATATTTTGACATATGATAATGGAAACAAGTCAAATATAATAATATGTAACTTTTAAGTCAAATTATAGATATATAAAAAACCTGTAAGGTATATATATATATATTTTTTATATCTATTGCTAATGTTGCTACTAAAATATTCCATAACTTGAAGCAAATGATTTATTTGCATGGAAATAAACAGAAGTTAATAGGACAAAAACCTATGATTCTTTTATAGAATTGAAATGGTTCCGTGTATTTTAAAATGGTGAGCAGAACAGTATAAAAAGTTTGATATTCTATGTACAATGAATACAATGATTTTTAGGTGTATCGAGCAATTAAAGTTTTTTAAAACTTACAATTTGAAATGATAATTCTTAATGTATCTATATAAACGTGTTCCTATATAAACAAACTTAAAATAAAAATATGCTAGGCTATAAATAATCTCTAGATTTATATGACTAGACTTGAACACCTTGACATACATAAGAAAATTGCACTAATTAATCAGTCACTTGCAGTATCAAATCATGCTAAAAACCCATTACAAACTTTTTTCATTATTGACATATCAGGCAGAATGAGACAATACCTTGTTCCCAATTTAGTGTCGTAGAAAAAGTTGAAATGTCAAATCAAATTATTATTAATCTATGGAATCCTAAAAGCCATTTGCATTTTTTCCCGCGGTAGCGAAATTTTTTGTTATTCCAATAAATCACTGTGAATGATGATGTTTTATGTTTAATTATGTTAATAAAAACAGTAATTTACATAATTATTCATAGTTCGTTGGTGTTTTTTTCACACATTAATAATATCTAGGATATTGGTCTAATTTGTTTATAATGAAGGATCTGAACAAGGATTTATTGTGTGTTCCGTTTTTTTTAAAATTGGATCTGATCTTGACAGTTAAGTTTTAGCGGGAAAATAGTGACAGTTGATTTTTTTTAGAAGTTATTGGTTATGAATTACTTTTAACTTATTTGTAATTAGGAAGGTATTTTAGGCAACATTTTAGTTATTGGTAACCTATTTTGTAGTCTAAAGATTTCTATCATAATTTTAATGCAAAAGATATGAATTTATACAGCCATTTTTTTCAAAACCATATTAGACCGACAAAGCAGTCAATTAATTAATGTTCTACTGTTAACACTTTGGACAATTAAAAACTGCATTAAAATATCCCCTTCACTTAAAAGTACGGATAGCATAATAATAATCATTATACGATACTGTTCTAATGTAAGTACCTAATGTCCTTGTTGCAAAAGTGAACGCGTGTCCTTTGCAAACGGCGGTAGCGTCAGCAAAAAGGTCGGGAATGTAAGATTTATAAAAAGAAAAAAATATTTAGGTGTTTTTGAGCTGCCAAAAGCTGTATACAATGATTAATTTTTGCACTTTGTTTCGTTTTTTATCGGATTTTATTTTCAGGGTTTTGAACTCGATTTAAATATGAATATTTTTATATTTATGTTAATGTAACAAGTTAATGTGATACTTGATCTGTCTGTACATAGTGATAAGAGAAGAAAATGGTTAAAATCTTAATTTAACTATTGCCGTATCTTTACTGCAGTTGCAGAGTTAGTCTCTTGACTAACTATCCATTTTTATATTTAATGAGTGACTTGTAAAAAATTGGCATAATAATTATGCCAATTAACAAATTTTACAAAATAGTCTAATTCATTAATAACTGATTAAATACTTAAAGTTAACAAACAAAATTCGCTAACCGTACAAGTAATTGCATAAACCGTGATTTTCGTGTATACCTATTTGGACGGCTAGTTAAATGCAGTAACTGTTCGTTTGTAGGTATCAATTTGTAATAGTTATGTTCTTTATCGAACTCAGCATTTTATTTTTGTCGTATAATACAAATTCTCTTCCCGCAGGCATCTACCTCACTTGAGACCCTTAGCATGAATAAGGGACTACATATTTAAAAAAAATAGGAAAGACTTTTTAAACTTTGACCTCAAAACTATTTTTTCCTCCAAAAACTGCTGCAACTCCTGTAAGCCAGGATCTACAATAGATTGTAGTGTGTGTGACACCTCGCCCTATAAGTTAGTAGTGTAAGTTAGTTATTGGGTACTCAATTAAAGTTATTCATAAGAACAACACGTCTCCCTCATTGCTCCACATTGCATGGCGACCCTGCCAGTGCTGCCACGCGGGCAGTGCTGAGCACGAGTGCGGAGTTATGGATTTTGTCAAATAAAAATTTATGAAAATTAATTGGACTAAAAGTGCGTATCAGTGTTCGTGAAGTGGAGAAATGTTGCTGGCTGCCGGGTGTCGATGCAGCCAGATGTGGACCTGCCGGGAGCGGTTGGTGTCCTGGAGGATGGAGCCGGGAGATGTTGGCGACCAGGTAGCGTCTGAGAGAATCTCCGCTACCCTGGGTACG